TTTGTCTTCAAGGGTGTGAGCTTAGCGACCACATTAACATACATCACTTTCCGAATGTAGGATACGCATCCTAAACCCTAGTAATAGCAGAAGCTAGAGAAGTCCCAGTGGTGCACCTACTGTAACTTTTAATTTTTGCAGTATTGGCTACCAATTTATAAGCAAGGCCTTTAGGCAGCATTTCTGAATGTTTGACAAGGCTATTTTGGGAAATTTATAGCTTAGCATAGATGCTGCCGTAAAATAAAACACAAAAGCCGCTGCAAAAGAATGATAAACTAAGCTTTCCAATACAAAAACACCGAGTCTGCCGAATGAAAAAGGAAAGTAAAGCAAGGGAATTTTTGTTCTGATCCGTTGTTTGTTTAACTTTCCAGTTCTTATTCCATACTGTAAATTAAACTCACTTGAGGAAGACTCATGATAAAGTCATGGGCATTTGCCATCTTGCAGTACTGTTCCATTTCGCTCTCAGATAAATCGGCACGTCCCAATCTTATGTTGTTTTCCACCTCAAAGATCGTACTTAGAGAGTGTTTGTTTCCATTTACATACCTTATTATCAGATTGAAAAAAAGCAATTATGTGTGTACGTTTGTGTATGTGTGTATGTGTCTGTATTTGTGTGTATTTGTATGTGTGTATGTGTTTATGTGTGTATGTGTGTAGGTGTGGCATGTGTTTATATGTGCATATGCGTGTATGTGTGTATCTGAGTATGTGTGTATGTGTCTGTATTTGTGTGTATGTGTGTATGTGTGCGTATGTGTGTATGTGCGTGTGTATGTGCGTGTATGTGCGTGTGTGTATGTGTGTATGTGTGTATGTGTGTTTATGTGTGTTTGTGTGTACGTATGTGGTATGCGTGCATATGCGTATGTGTGTATGTGTGCGTATGTGTGTATGTGTGTGTATTCGTGTGTATGTGTGTATGTGTGCATATGTGTGTATGTATGTGTGTATGTGTGTGCGTGGGTATATTTGTGTATTTTATTTGTGTATTATTATTATTATTATTATTGCGTATTTTATTTGTGTATTGTGCTATTTTTAGCCTGGGTTTGCTAAGAGAGGATTTTTTTGCTGGAAATCTTAGGAACTGATCTGTGCTCCTTTCAGAAAAAAAATTTAAAACAGAGAACTATTGACTATTCTGAAACAGCCGAGCATAGCTGGGTATGCAAGCTAGTAGTCCATAAAGAACATCAGTAAAAAATTCGGGCCCTGACTTGAAAACATCAGGGTCGAAAAAGGATCAAATTACTTGGAACTGGGCTTTACTTTTGCTTAGAGGACATCTTTTTTCAAAGTTGTTTTCAAAAAATAATCCAGTGTATTTACGATACCCAAAAGTGGAATTGACGCCGATATTGCGAAAAAAACATCGGATTTTGCATTACGAATCATGTGGCAGTTGGGCTTAGAAGTCTAGCAAATCTGCTAAGGAAGTCTTTTGGCTCCTAAATACGATTTGACTATAAGAACTACCATTTTGGCGAACAAAAAATGAAAGAGCAAAGTTTTGACTGAGTGATTGCTTTATTTACGGTTGATTCTAGCTTTGCGGACAGAATCCGTTTTTTGAGTGAGAGAAAATAGAAGTTGGTACTGGTTTCAGATATATCATCTTTATAGTATAGATTTCTCAGTCACAAAAATCATTCAGACCAACATGTTTTTTTCCAAACCTAATGCATTTCCCCTAAACTTCACTTCCGTATGCACACTGTACAATCGCCAGCAAATACTTACTTTCCCAAGTTTAAGTGCCTACGGTTTTTTTAAAATATAGAGCGGTTTGGCAGTTACTGAGATTTAGAACTGAGCCTTTGATCTCACTCTAGGGGGCTAGCGGTTTGCCCCCTGCGCCATCCATTCACCCCTTATATTTTCTAGATCAACAAATGAAAGAATTGGCTTTGATCTTGTACTATGAGATGTTGATTCTCTATTAAATTTGAAGATTTACTTACAATGCACATGAGCAGCGAAGAATGATGCCATTTTTTCATCTTAGCTGCAGAGAAATATATTTGTGTGGTGTGACTAAAATGTAGAAACGAGAGCTTCGCCTTTATGGTGATGGAGTACAACAAGATCTCTGTAGAATAGAATTCTTACAAATTATTGCAAAAATAGATGACTATGGGACTGCACTGACAACACGTCACACACTCAGTGATAGATAGAACTTTGGCGCAGCCTCTAAAATAACTGAAGAGGCACGCAGGGTCAGCCGCGTGTACAATGTCTAAAGCAAAATTCTGGCTTTTTTTCAGTGACTTTGCAAACACACATGCAATAGGTTAAATTATTCGAAGCCTAACTCCCTAGCGTTGCCGCTATAAGGTTGAAGCACTCGTTTCTTAGTTCACAACTAGAAACACAATTATTTTAATGCACTCTAGAAATAAAAAATGGCGTCATTCAGCACTACTCGTGTACATTGTAAGTTGAGGCCCTTAAACTTGTGTAACTAAATCACTTGGAGAAAAATCACAATAATTCCTATCACACGGTCACACTTGATTGGGTTGATAATCGAGATCTTTCAAATCCCTAAGTGTCATGGATGGTTCAGTAATAAGCTCGGCTAACGTTCAAAAGGACGTAGGATCGCTTCTAATCGAGCGACAATAGGTGGTAACAAAAGTTTCATCAACATACCAATAATTTATAACAAAATCATGTGCTTTAGGCACATTATTTCTTCACGAGTCTTCTTAATCTTGTCAGACTCTTCTTCTTAAGACCATGCCAGATTCTCAGGATCCTTCCTTCTTTTGGCCCTTTTCCTAGCTTGCTCCTGGCTTTCGACCTTCCAATTTTCGTCGATGCTGGGCATCCAGCTCGTCATCGCCTAATAAGAACCCCTTTTTGCTCCTTGTCTCTCGGTTTCGGATTTTCGGTAAAATGTGAAGAAATAAAGTGCTTAAAGCACATCTTTTATTATAAATTACTGATATGTTAATAAACTTTTGCCTACCACCTTCTTGTTGCATGATTGGACCTAATCCTGTTGGATGGCAGCTGAGCTACTTACCACTGGACCATCCATGACACTTCTGGAGTTGAAAGATCTCAATAACCCAATCAACTTGATCTTGTGGTAAAGAGGAGAGCTTGTAATTTTTCTCCAACTTACCGATGAACATCAACAGGATGCGAAAAAAGTAAGAACGAAAATGCAGATGAGGGGAAAAAAGCACATAATCAATGTACATACCGTATCAGCGAAAAGCGCTGGTTCTTGAGAAACAACTCCCACGATATTGCGCAGATGCTCGATGTTAAAGTCCTGTATAGATATCCCGTCTATAAATATCTAAAATTGTCGTCTCTACATTATTGTCTTTGCGGCTGCTGCTGTATAGCTTGTTTCATCGTCTCAGTTTTTGAAAGTTATGATTCTGTGGCAGATCTAGCCTCGAATATACAACTGTGAAAGTATGGCGTATGTAGTTTGTTGCTTATCTAGAGAATGAAACAAACTATACAATTTGATCACCT